TATATACAATGAAATATTACTCAGCCATTAGAGAAATGAAATCCTACCATTTCCAACAACATGGCTGGACCTAGAGGATATTATGCTGAGTGAAATAAGTCAGACAGAGAATGATAAATACCACATGATTTCATTTACATGTAGAATCTAAGGAACAAAAGGAACAGACTCACAAATATAGAGGACAATCTGGTGATGGCCAGAGGGGAGGAGTGTGTGTGTGCGGGAGGGGCTGGGGGAGAAAGCAGTGAAGGACTAAAGAAGTATAAATTAGTAGTTGATGGTTACGGGGAATGGGAGCATGGCATAGGGAATGAAGTCAGCAGTAATGTAATGACTATGTGTAGAGCCAGAGGAAAGATAGAGTAATCAGGGGAATTGTTTCATAAACTATATAAATGTCTAACCAATGTGCTGTATACTGAAAACTAATAATACAACAAAATAAAATGCTAAAATAAAAAAGCAAAACTTAACTAATAATACAATAAAATAAAATGCTAAAATAAAAGAAGAAAACAACTATGTATAGTCTGTGTACAAGAGACACATTTTAAATACAATGCAGATCTATTTAAAATAAATGAATAATAGATATACACTGTGCAATCATAAGAAGGCTGGCATGGTTTCATTAGTATCAGATAAAATTATTACTAGAAAAAAGATGGGAACATCATAATGATAAAGGGTCAATTTATCAGGAATATATAATAATCACAAATGTGTGTGTGTCTAATAACAGACTCAGAATGAATAAAGCAAAAATTGAAAAAAATCATGGGAAGAAATAGAAAGTTCCACAAACAAAGCAGATTTTAATATTCTTCTCTCAGATATGGTAGCACAACTAGACAAAAATCAGTAAAGACATAGAAAAATTGGAGAACACTATTAATCACCTTAGTTTATTGATATTTTTTAAAACACTGTACCCCCTCAACAGAATACACATTCTTTGCAAGTGCACAGAGTATATTCTCCAAGATATAGCCCAGATTCTATAGCCAAGATATAGCCCAGATTCTAAGCTATAAAACAAGTCTAAAAACTTGAAATAAACAAAATCATATAAAGTATGTTCTCTGATGAGAATGTAATTAAATTAGAAATTAATAACAACATAACATCTAGGAAAACTCCAAATATTTGGAAATACCTAACATGGTTTCCTGAAATTCTCCTGTGGGTTAGTAACCATTAAATGAAGGGAAGGTAAAGAGAAAGTTCAAATTTTGGGATGAGGGTAATGACTTGTGCTGGCAAATTTCTTTTAGGGACCTACTAAAGCCTTGGAAGATGAAACACTCTGTTCAAAGCTCATTTTTGTTGACCAGGCGTGACACCTTTTATGCTTAGCTGTTAAAACTGTACTTGAGTAGATAGGATTTACTAAATGGCCTAATTCAGTGTCCAGAACTGAAAATATTGATCACCATCACCTCCAGTTTAAAATAGACATAAACTCAGATACACATGCTTGTGCATAAAGACACATAGACACACACACACACACACACACACACACACACACACACACACACACACACAATCACACCAAACAATTAGAGTGAAAGAAGTTGAGCATCTATGGAAACCTCTATATCTTTTATGAAGTCACTTTTACTCTAGAATAATATGAATTTGGCCTTACTCCTTATGGACTTTCTATTTCTACACAAATCTTATTTGAATGAGAGAACTTGGGTAACTCAGCTTTGAGCGTAGGAGGAAGGCTGCAAAGGGAGGCCTAAGACTTGCTTTTGTTGTTGCGGAAAGTCAAATTCAGATACCCAGGATATAGCAGTTTTAACGATTACTCTCTTGTACTATCAACTGCAAAGAGTGTATATTAGTTTGTTATTGCTGCTGTAACAGATTACAGTAAGATTGTTAGCTTAATACAATGCAAATGTATCATCTTTTAGTTCTGAAGGTTATAAGTCTCGGTAAAGTGTGGCTCTGCTCAATTCCCTGCTCAGAGTCTCACAAGGCTGAAATCAATGTATTGACAAGGCTGCATTTATTTCTGGAGGCTCTAGGGAAAAATCTGCTTCCAAATTCATTCAGGCTGTAGGACTGTTGTCCCATTTCTTTGTTGGCTGGTGGTGGAGTGTTTCTCAGCTTCTAAAGGCTACCACATACCCTGGTCATGGCCCCCTAATCTAACTTTAAAGCCAGCAACATCATGTTGAGTCCTTCTCATGCCCTGAATTTCGTTCTGGCTCCCTCTTGTGCTGCATCATTAACTGTTCTGTATCTCACTTTCACTTTTAAGAGCCCACCTGGAAATCCAAGATAATCTTTCTATCTTAAGGTCAGCTGATTAGCAGCCTTGATTCCATCTGCACAGTCCCTTTTGCCATGTAAGGTAACACATTCATGTGACTTAACACTAGGGGGCAAAGGTGATAAGAGTCTAAATCAATCTTACCATAAGTTATAACCCAATAGAGTACTCAAAGGACAATTTCGAGTGAGGTCAAAATTTGTGAGCTTGGAGACAAAACTTGAACAGAAAGAGAAACTGGTAGAGGAAGATTTTGATTGATTTATCTTATTTAAAGTTAAACAAAATCAAACTCCTTTTTGGAGACTTTATTTACTCCCTCTTTCAAAATGATTTTTGTTCCAACTCTGGCTGTGTATTAACTGTGAGACCTCAGTGGGTGATTTGGTTAGATTAGAGAAAATGACACAGAAGGTAAGAGCTGTAAGGAACCTGAAAACTCATCTTGTCTATTATTCACATACTGTAGATGAGGAAACGAATCCAGAGAGGTTAAAGTTCCCCAGCCAACTGATGATAGAATCGGGTCTGGAATCTAGGTCTCCTCATTCCTAGTCCAGTGTGTCATTTCAAATTGATCATGTCTCACAGTGATAATACAGTTGTATATTTTAAAGATAGAATTTTTCCAAGTTTTCCTTCCTTCCTTCCTTCCTTCCTTCCTTCCTTCCTTCCTTCCTTCCTTCCTTCCTTC